TCTCCCACCCTTAAAAACGTTCGAATAAGCGAAATAAGAAAATACCAAGCCATGTTCCCTCGTTGTTGCCTGTATTTTCAAGTAAAATTATTATCGTTTTCTTTGTGACATGCTTGTGCCACCCCCCCCCCCACAAAAAAAATAATAATAATAAATAAATAAATAAATAAATAAATAAATAAATAAATAAATAAATAAATAACCGAGTGGTTAATCCACCAATGAAAACCATATTTGAAGTAAAGGAAAATAGCCATGCCATAGGGCGCATTCCCAATTTAACCATCGTTCTACGTAGATCGACCTAACTCCGCAAGGGACTATCGCTGAATACAAGCAGATTAGCAGATGAACACACCTCTTGTTTCTTATTAGTAACAGTTTCCCTTTGTTTTTGGAGGCGTGTTAGCCTGATTGCATTCAGCGAAAGTCGCCGCGGAGGTGGATCGATCTATGTAGAACGATGATTTCATTGGGAACGAGCCCGTAGCTTGCAAACAGACGGATTTTAATTGTAGAGCAATGTTTAAGTTTGGGTCGTGTGTTTGAACATTCCGGTGTTTACCACATAGCGAAATATCTAAGCGGGCGCATGAATCATAGGGAAAATTTGTCAGGCAGACAAAATTCTTGGAAGAATACACATTATTGATCGATTTGAGAGAGGGAAATCTTACTATAAACAATTGTGACTTCATCAGACGTGATCAAAATGACTTTATCTGCAAGATTTAAGGCTATAAATTTAGACCACAAATGATGTCCACCAGAGTTCAAAATCGAACAATCTAATGATAAGATTATTCAAAATGAGTAAATATATGTATTCATTTGACCCTATGCGTTTCTAAATAGCCACCATTGTATATGTAATCATTTAAAAAAAACAATAATATATAGAAAAGTAAAATAAAAAATATTTAAAATGTTATTGTGCCATTTTTCAAAATAAATATTTAAGCCAAGTATGAAGTGTTGTTTATCTCTAAATGTAGGTGGTAGGTTACACATATCTAAAAAAAATGTGAAAGAAACTCAATGGGCCACAAGCACCCCCCCCCCCCCAGGCTGCGAACCCCCAGAACCCTGAAAATAACATAGAAATAAAATAAAATAACTTTATAAGCGAAACAAAAGCCTAAACCATCCCCCTTCTTTGTGATCTGCACATTTTAGTAACTTAAACTCTCGTCTACTACGTTGTTAAAGAAATTGTTTAAACCAAAAATTAGAAGAGCGCTGGTATCTGATTTAATGATAAATACTGCACCTCCAGTGGTTTTTAACCATTGTGTTGGAACATCCCGGAAATGCCATGTAACTAACCCCGGTCAACTTAAACTGCAAAGTCATCAAAACATTCCAAAGGAATTTCTTAATGGCTATATGATGCCAGACTAAAGATGAAAGTTGTGTTATGAAATTTTTGATTATCACATTATCTTGCAATCCCGCGGGGGAGAATTAATTTCATCAAAAATTTCAAAATCTCAAACGTAACTTTGAAATATAAGCACAGACGATCTAAAAGGAAGTTATGAAGTATCAAGACGAGACAAATTCATTGTTTTTGACAGGGAAAACCCAACGTTGAAAAGACACAAGTATAGACAGTGGGGAATTTTCATTTCTCACAGTCAAATTTAGACCCAGGTGTATTTATAAAAGATCTTTGACAAGATTTCCTTTGTGTGAAAATATCTGACGTGATAGATAATTGATAGCCTTCAGAATATGTTATTGTGTTGAAACGGGTTATTCCAGTAGAAGTGGTAACTTTATCTTGTGATCCGAGACCGCCATCTTGACACATTGACCCATGCTTTTATTACTTAACGTTGACACATAAAAAGTTCATGCGAAAAGGATTTTGGCTGGATGTCAGAAATAAAAAAAGATCAAACAAGGCGAAAAACGTAGCTAGCCGTCCATTCAATGACTAACGGGAAAATCCCACAAATTTCTGCTGATCTTTTACATTTGGAAGCGAAGTCTCGTCAACGCGTACAATTCTAAAAATAAATGTTTGCCACTCATATCTGAAAACAGCTTCAAGGCTGAGGATGGTGGATTAATACTTCGAAGTACAAACTCACATGACTTCAGTGGCAATAAGATAACCATACTGAGAACAATGTAGAGAATATCCGGGACGAGATGAGGTCAGACAAAAAACCCCTATATCATTATGTTCATCATAAATACACCAGTGGGGAATAATTTGAATAGAATATTATGCCGGGAGTAATGACATGAAGGACTGGGGTGAAGTCCGGACACATACATCTGCGACGTCAGAAAATGCCCTGAATAATAGCGTCCCGTGGCCCAGTCATTACAAAAAACCGAAAGTCAGTTTGAACTTTTTAACCAAAAATTTAGTCCATTTTTACCCTTCCCAAGAATTAGTAGCTATCTTTTTAGATGAAATAGTTTTTTTAAGTAAGTGGAGTGGTACAGGTTTCACCGGGATCTGTAGACCAAATATCTGGTGTGAACAGTTAAGCCAACTTAAGACATTTTGTGAAACGGGCAGACGTTTTTAAAATCGTATTTTAAAAAATACAATAGCAACAAGTACCCAGGAGTTAAAATTCATTTCTTCAAAAACTTTATTCATAATGTTCGCTCTATGGTACACAGTCACAGTATTGAGTATAATGTACTAATATATTGGAGTCATAGTTTAACTTCCCTTAATTAATTTTTTTTTCATTTTCATGAGCATAATTATTTATTTATTGCAGACCCCTACATGGCTGAGACGTGTGTGGTTCTGTTACCCACACTGCAATATACTGAATACTGCAGTACAAAGTACTGAACAAAAACATACTAAGTACAGACAGGACTTTTCTCTATAAAATGTGGCTATAAAAACGATCAAACTACGTCTATCAAATCAACTGTGAATACGTCAGGAATTACTGAATATTGACCTTTGTATGAATACTTTTTGGGTACTGCTAATAAATTGCTAGTACTGAGTACACATAAGCTGATATAGCAGTGTGGGTAACACGAACTGCACTTTGTTTTTTTTAAAAAGCAGCTGAAGTTCCTTTTTTCATCTGGATCATATCCCTTCATCAACTTTCACCACCACAAAAACACTTTGTCAGTTTTGTATCTTGGACACTATAACACAAAAATGCCCCTTAGCCCTTCACCCATAGAATCAAGACACGAAACAAGATCTCTGAAACTTCAAATGGGGGAAACTTAAGTCAAAACCAGCCATGTGAACTTTGGGGTTTTTGTAGCCACTTCACATACACTTCGCTAATAAAATATCCATGCAGTACTCACAACTTACGAGACAAAACTGTGCAGACGAGAACGTATTACAGCACTTTGTGTTAACTTTTCAAGAAACGAGAGATAGATTTGGGGGGAGAGTTGGGGGGGGGGGGGG